GTAATGTCATGGTTGCTAAGGGATACCCCCCTGACAAGGGAAGTGAGTTATTTGTGATATTTTTTTAATTACATGCTTTTTCTTTAAGAAACACTGGGACACACAAAGTGCCTCCCTTGGCATGCTCCTTAATTTGGGAACTACTGATGCATGTTATGTAATAACTTTTACAGGAAGAACTACTAAATATTTACACACTACTAGTTGAAATAAGTTATAAGTAGCCTTAACCCCTTCATTGTGGCTGGGACGTATATTTACCAGGGCACTAGGAGATATACATCCCAGCCTCAATGAAAGGGTTAATTATGGGTAACCAATAAACTACACATGACTGCTAATGTCACATTTTGAGTACAACATGCTTAATATTTATGTATTTTCTATCTTACTGTAACTTCAGATTTTTCTATTTGTTTGTAAAAGACTTGTACAATATTTATCTTTCATGAAGTAATAAACGAATATGAGCAACACATTTTTAGCATAAATCATCAATTTACACATTAAATTTAATTGTGATATACTTTTGTATGATTTAACACTGTGCATTGACACATTAATACATTCCAGTATTAATGCTGTATTAGCTGTTTTTCGCATATGTTAACTGTCATTAAACTAGTTTTGAATTGTATTTTACACTTTTTTAAGAGCTTTGTCAGTGAAATGTAGGTCATTTGAATATAAATATAAAAACACAGCTTACTAATACAATATCGAAGCCCACATGACTTAATACAGGGTGCAGTAGTGTTTCAGGTAACAAACTTTATTTGATTAAAAATTTACCTATTTACTAAATTTTATCGTTAACAAATATTTATATCTACAGCCCAATATATTTTTATGTATGTGTGTACACTGCACAAAATGGTTACAATCTGTCATAGGGTACCTGCTCTGAGATTGAACTAGATGCTCGTAGCTGCAGCTGGATGCATCATTTGGCTGAACTGTAGGCTAGACACAATGAAATGCAAGTTCCTTACAGCATGGCACAATACCACTCACCTGCAGCGTTGCCAATAATATATCCAGTAAGTCAATGACATATGAAGGCAGTTTTAGTTTTACTAATGTATCATTCTTCACCGTGCAGGTAACGAGCTTGTACTCACTTAGAAAGAATTTGGAACAATGAAAACAAATCCAATTTCTTTTTCATACAAGAATGTGACATCTATAATTGGTGATGGAAATTTGAAATAAACATTGTTGTACATCATACAGAATAGTGGCATTAATGCCACATGCTAAAGGGACGTTTTACGTGCCTGCGTTCCATATCCTGATGCATTGGGACCGGACTTCAACCACGTGGATAATAATATATTCTTCCACATGACAAATTGGTCAACTTTTCTTGAAAAAGTGTTAGAGCAAATGGAGTGTACATCATTAATTTTTCAATGCTCTAATCTTTAGCATTTAAATGAAACATCATAAACTGAAAAGATCATATACAAACATGAAATGAATGAGTGGTCATCTGCATTTCCGATTACATGGTGGATCATCAGACACATGATTTGATGAAGATGAAGTGAGAGGAAATGGGTGTAGATGCTATAAACAGATGAAGTGAAATACTGCACCAGAAATGCAAAATAATTTTAAGAGCTTAGGTATGATGTGGTAAACCAACCGAATAGTACACGTAATAGGTATGATGTGGCAAACCGACCAAATAGTACAAGTAATAGGTATGATGTGGCAAACCAACCAAATAGTACAAGTAATAAGTATGATGTGGCAAACCAACCAAACAGTACAAGTAATAGGTATGATGTGGCAAACCAACCAAATAGTACAAGTAATAGGTAACATGTCGCAAATCAGT